ATACGAGGTCAATATCCACGACATTTGGATTTTCACAGGGATGCTATTTTAAGACCAGCTGACATAAGGGAATATGAGCGGGAGCGGATGATGCGCTCATTGCATCAAACATTAGCTGTTCAGCAGCCGTTGGCTCCTTTCATTGAACAAGACAGGTATAGGGAAAGGGAACCACACGACTTTACGCGTGATAACCCCCTTGGGATGGACACACGACGAAGTGATCTTGATCATCTGCCACATCTCGCGGAGGAGCAAGTACGTTTACGCGAAGATACGATGGCTGCGGAACGGAATAGGATTCTTCATGGAGGTGATCATTTAGGACTTGGTGTCTCAAGGCATTCAATGTATATTCCTGGCGGCTTATCATTCGCTGCTAGTGCTTCGGCGAAAAGTTCAATGTCATCTTCTGGACTTAGTGGAATTCCTCCCCCGTTAGTGCCAACTGTGTCACTCAACAGTAACGCTATTAAACCCATACACACACAGGCCTCAGCATCAGTGTCAAACATTGGCCAAGATAAAGATGAGCTCAAAGACAAATCTAATAAACCAGACAAAGACACAAGATAAACGATCGTCGTACCTATGCAGAGTCTGCAAAATAAATAATATTAACAATATCACTTTGGAAGTTCACTTTTTTCAGCTCTGATTTAAGTGTGTTATTTATGTGTGCCCACTTTAAATGATAAAAAAAAAAATCTGAATTTGGAATTCATTTTTACATAAATTCTATATATTGTGTTTGATTTAAAATCAAGCAATTGGCTTGAGAAGATTTTATATACTACTAACTGTGTATAGTTAGAACAATCAGTTTTTTTTTTTTTTAAATATTTTTGTGTATAAATGTAAATGGTGTTAGTTGATTTCATTGTCGGGTTGACTGTAAGACAGTGCATCATTTTATCCAGACAACCTAAAATTGCAATAGTATGAACTGGAATCTTGAGAAGAAGTAAATATCTGTTTTGCTTGCTTGCATGCTTCTGCAATTGCAAATACCGTATTTGCTCTATTAATAGCGCATACGCTTATATCAATTGCAGAGATTTTTTCAAAATAAGTAATATTATAGTGAGTCAGTGTACAGGCAATGCGATTTTTTTTTTTAGTTTATGTGCACTTCTTTTGGAGATGCGCTTTT